GTGTGTGTGTGTGTGTGTGTGTGTGTGTGTGTGTGTAATTATGGGGTCGGAAAATTGTGGGTTTATTATGTGTCTGAAAAGTACGTGGGTTGTGCTTGGGGTGTAATGGTTTTGATTCTAAATTGTCGCTTGTGTCACAATTTTTGTGGAAAACCCGACTCCCCCCTTGCAGTGTTGCCTATTCACCTTTCTTATAGTGGTTAAACGCCTTGTTCAATGGATTATCATTTTTCTAAACCTTATTTAATTTTTGGGGTGCCTATTCTTTAAACGTGGGGTAGGGGAAAATTAGACCATTTACATTTAGCGGGGGGGTTTTAAATTTGGGAACCCGGGACCCCACACCCCAAAAAACCCCTCATAAAGGGGATAAAAGTACATGTGGGCAGCTGTTTTGCAGGGGTAGATTGTCCACGGTTTGAAAGTGAGTTTTCCCGGGTGATCGCTTTGTTTTGGGCCCGGCGTAGATTTCCCCCTCCCAAATTTTTCTCGTTAATAATTACCCCATTCACTGGATTTCTTTCTGGTACACGATTGTTTCACTTTATTACCTTTTTTGGGGACACTTGGGACCCCCGCCCCACCACTAGCCGGGCCACAAAGCTTTTAAATTTTTCCCGATCACTTTTTAAAATTTTTGGCTCTCCCCCCAAAACTTTGTGGCCCGGCAATTAAAAAAAAAAAATTTTAGGGGTTTTTGACTACCCCGACCCCACTTAGCAAACCCCTTTCAGAAAACTTTACTAAGTGTTCTCAAAAAAAAACTTTTAAAACCCCGGGGCCCCGCGGCGTGACTAGCGCGGCTCGCTGTCCCAAATGTTTTGTGTGTGTGTTTTTGTGTGTGTACTCAATAAATTGTGGTTTCAGGGGGTTGAGGGTCGCTCCCGGGCCCCCCTTTTCCTGAGGCTATAGGTCCCTCTTCCCGCCCCCATGAGTTTTTTGTGTGTGGTGTGTGGTGTGTTGTGTTTTGTGGTGTGTGTTGTGTGTGTGTGTGTGTGTGGTGTGTGTGAGTGTGTGTGTGTGTGTGTGTGTGTGTTTATGGGTGGTGTGTACTCACCTAGTTTGATTGCAGGGGTTGTTCCAGCTCCCGGGCCCGGCCCCCCGCCTTTTTAAATGATCGCTAAGCCCGCTCCATGAGTTTTATCATACCCCTTCTTAAAGCAATGTTTTGGTTCTGCCCATACTTACTTCCCCGACTATTTTTTTTTCCTGAAAAACTTTTGTGATCAAAAAATATTAATAAATTTCCCCAGATTAAACGAATCTTAACTTCCAATTGTGACCCCTTGTTGCTGTGTCCAATCTCTGGAAATCCTTTTTCTGTCCACCCCTTTTTCAATTCCTTCGGGATTTTAGATGTTGTTTTCATATCCCCTTTTTCTCTCCTGTCCCCCAGTGTCATCAGGTCGATTTCCTTTTAACCCCTTCTCATAGGGCGTGGGACTCCGTTCGGGAAATGTCCCTTTTTGCAAAAATTTGCACTTGCTCAAATTTCTTTAATGTTTGGGGTAGGTTTTGGTTTTCCAAAAATCTTGATGATTTTTTCAGTTTTTTTTTTTCTTTTTTGCCATCTTTTTTTTGTGTGTCCTTCCATCACTTTTCCTGAAACCCATGAATTAAAGGGCTGAAATAAACCCCCTCCTCCTCCTCCCCCTCCCCTTTTCCTTTACTCTGTGTCTTGTGTCCCATTTTTTACTAGCCTTTTTCCCCTTTTTTTTTTTCCCGTAACTCAGGTTTTTCATTGGGCGTGCCCTGCATGAAACCGGGCACCTTCTCTACCCTCTTTTCCCCCCCCTTTCTACTATCTTTTGCCCCAACAACTCTACCCCTTTTTTTCCTGGCCCTTTCTTTTGGGGACTGATAGAGCCTATTGAAAATTCTTGTTCCTTCATTTCCCTTGGGCTTCGTTTAAAAAAGGGGGGTACCTTCCTCAGTTTTTCCCCTATCTCCTCGGGGGAATAGCCCGTTTAAACCCCTTCGCCCTTTTGTTAGTTATCATTTTGTCCCAGGCCCGGGCGGGTTTTTTTTTTTTTTATTTTGATTTTGGGCCTTTATATTTTTGACCCCCCTTTTAAAATTAAGCCTTTTGGATTTTTTGAACTAGGCCCCTTTGTTGTGTGTGTGTGTGTGCCCCCCTGTACTTCCAAATATTTGACTTTAACTAGTTTTAAATTCCGGGGTGGCCTTGTTCCCGGCCCTTCCTCTTCTTGGGCCACCCCTTTTTCAACCTTCCCGTTTTTTTTGTTGTTAAAAAGCCCCCCAAAAGCTTTTAATTATTTTTATTTATTTTCCCAGTTTTCCAAACCCCCCCGTTGTGACCCCTTGGGGCTTGTAAATCCCCTGCAACCTTCCCCTTAATTTTTTCCTTTTTCCAAGGGGGGATTTTATTTGGTTACTCCCCCCGGGGTTTTTGGGCCTTCCTTTTTTTTTCAAAATTTTTTTTGGGGTTTTTGGTTGGGGTTCCTAAAAACTCTTTCTAACAAAATCCTTTTACTTGGTATTTTTTATGAAAAACTGGGGACTTTCCTTTAATTTTTTTCTTTCCCCGGGGGGTTTCCCATACTTGTGGGAAACCCAAAAGGGCCTTTTGGGAAGGTTGGGCGTAATCCCCTTTACCCAAAGTTGCCCCATTTCCCCAAAATTTATATTGGCGAAAGGGGTTCCCGATTATTTGGGGTTTTATTCCTTCAAAAAAGAAGGGGAAGGGGTCCCCGTTGGGGGCCCACACAAAAGATCTTTTATTGAGTGAAAATTTTTCCCCTCCTTAGGCTTCTTGGTTTGCAATCTTTTCCTTTTCCCAAAGGGTTTTTTAACCTTTTTCCCTTTTGGGGTTGTTCCCCAAACCTTTTAAGGCCAGGCTTTCAGTCTTCCAAAACCCCTTTTGGTTCCCATTTCCCCCGTTCCGCTTGAACTCCCAATTTTTTTAAATTTTCCCCGAACCGGGACCCCCTTTTTAGGTCCCCTTCCTTTTTGTTTTTCCATAATTTTTCAAAAAAGCATGGGAAACCTTTTTTGGACCTTTTTACCCTTGGGGAACCCCTTTTTTTTTAATTGACCCTTTAATACCTTTTTAGTTTACCGACACAACGTTGTTTATCTGTAGGATTCCGTACTTCCCAAATGTCATTATTTCCCCCACTTAACCCCCAATTTTAACGCCCTTGTTTACTTTGTTGAAAGCCCTTTTAAAATCCCAAGAAGCTCCCCCTTCTAAATTTAAAAAACCCTTTTTTTTTTTTCTGTTAAATTGCCTAAAACTTTTAAAACCCTTTTTTTAAAGTTATTTTTCCCGAAACCCCCCTGCCCCGAAGGTTTTCCCTTCCTTTATTTCCTCCCTAATTTCCTTTATTTTTTAAATTTTTTTAATTTAAATTTAAAAGGGAAAAAAAAAGAAAAAACCAATGGTTTAATTTTAAATGCCAAAAACCTTGTTTCCAACATTTGGGCAGGCCCTTTTTAAAATTTATTAAAATTGGTTTAATTATGGAAAAAAGGGGAAAAAAAAAATTTCAGCAACATAAGGGCCAAAAACCCGGGTTAGGATTTTTTAAGTTGTGTACATTCATAAATGTAAATTAACTTTTTTATTATCCAAAAATTTTAAAATTTTTGAAACAAATTTTGTTTTATTTATTTTGAAAGGTTTTTTAAAGACTTAAATTTTTTTAAACAAAGGAAATTCACGGTAAAGTTCCAAAAATTTTTCCCCTTTTTTTTGTAGGGGTTTTTGTTCCTGAAAAGGGCCTCAAAATATCTTCCTTTTTAGGCCAATTTTTAGGGGGTTTAAAATTTTTGGGGGTTTTACCCCCCTTTGGTTCTTTTAATGCTTTTTAAGTTTTATTTGAAGTTTCTTTTTATTTATTTTTATTTAAATTTTTTTATTTGACTGACCTTTTGTAAAAAATTTAATGGTTAAGGGGGTTTTTTGGAAAACCCCTTTTAAAAACTTAGGGGAAGGGGTTTAAAATTAAAATTAAAGGGGGGTTTAAAAACCTAAGGAAAATTTTATTTTTAATTTAAATTGGTTTTAAAATTTTATGGCACTTCTGCTAGTAGGTAGGATGCCGTACTCCTCCCTTAAGTGAATGTGACTGACCTGACTAGGTCAAGGCATTGGCTTATGCCGGTGCGAGAATTGAACCTGCCTCGCATAGGCCAGTAGGCCTGCTGCAGTGTTCCTTCTTTCTTATGTTCTTATGTATGAGTTAATAAATTCCAGTAAAGCAGACAGTCTACACAGAGCTATTATAAATTCGGTTGGTCATGCAATATATAAATTGTCGAAGTGGTTAGTAAAGGTTTCGACTACAACTGTAAGCAATAATTTATATAAAAACTTATTGATTAAGAAATGACGAATTACTTCAGATTAGCTCTGATGTGTCTATTTTTTTTTTTTTTTTGCTACAGTTACAGCACTAAGGCTTATCTCATTACTACTCGACAGTAGATACCTTACTGTTGTGTACAAACAAAATAATGACAAGGTATCAAACTTGGCTTCATTTCCCTGACAACGAGAAGGCAACTTCTTTGCCAGAAGACAGGCAGAAAAGAGTGACTACATTCTTGCTGAGTTTTCTCAACAAATTCACTTTATTTGAGAACATTCGTTCCTATAATAACTCTAATCTGGAACATGTTAGTACAACATAGCAACATTAATGGAGAAAGAAAGTCACTTGACAAAATGAAATCTCTGGACCACGGCTGGTACAACTTCATCATGTTCCCTAACAGTAAACATTAGTAGAAGTGAAGTGAGCTAGATAACAGCTGCTACAGTAGCTAGTAAAAGAAGGCATGAATTCTTAATCTAATCCTCTTAAAACTATTGCTTATGAGAGAGACAGACAGACAGAGACAGAGATAGAGATAGACAGACAGATAGAGAGATGTAGAGTGAGAGAGATGAATGGCATAATAGTAATAACAATAATAATAATAAATAATAATAAATAATAATAATAATAGACAATAAAATATATCTAGCGCCTTACCTCACTGACTGAAACAATTCTGAGGTTGTAGAAGACAGGTATGATAACGTGATACACAAGAGCACATCCAGGGATGAAGCCCAACAACATAACACACAGTTGTGTACCATACAAATACACCTCCGTGCCATTACCTGAGAGGTCAATAAAAAAATTATGTGAATACAGAGAATTAGCAAATATATTAGGGATGGGTCGATACCAAAATTTTTACCAGTACCGATACTGATACACAATTTTCGGCCGATATCGATACTTCTCTTATGTTTTATATTTTTAAAATTATAATGATTGTGTTTAATACGTTAGGGAATGCTTATTGCACAATGAGTATTTAATAGTAGTGCAAGATTAAATATTAAATAACTTAATTTCTTTGAGATAATAATGTCATTATTCATTATTTAACCTGGTTGTCTAAGGTATTTGTCGATAGCGTGTGTGTGCGCACATTTTTGGTCGGGTCATCAACTGGAGAAGACCCGGGCCGGCAGTACCGGCGAACCCACAACAGCGTGTGTTCGAGTGTGTGTGCATGTATTCTCCTGTGTGTGTGTGTGTGTGTGTGTGTGTGTGTGTGTGTGTGTGTGTGTGTGTGTGTGTGTGTACTCACCTAGTTGAGGTTGCAGGGGTCAGTCCGAGCTCCTGGTCCCGTGTGTGTGTGTGTGTGTGTGTGTACTCAATAAATTGTGGTTGCAGGGGTTGAGACTCAGCTCCTGGCCCCGCCTTTTCACTGAGTGCTACTAGGTCCCTCTCTCTCCCTGCTCCATGAGCTTTAGTGTGTGTGTGAGTGTGTGTGTGTGTGTGTGTGTGTGTGTGTGTGTGTGTGTGTGTGTGTGTGTGTGTGTGTGTGAGTGTGTGTGTGTGTGTGTGTGTGTGTTTATGTGTGTGTGTGTACTCACCTAGTTGTGATTGCAGGGTTGATTCACAGCTCCTGGCCCAGCCTCTTAACTGATCGCTAAGCCCTGCTCCATGAGTTTTATCATACCTCTTCTAAAGCAATGTATGGTTCCTGCCTCCACTACATTACTTCCCAGACTAATTCTTTTTCCTGACAACTCTGTGACCAAGAAATACTTACTAACATCCCATGATTAATCCTGAATTTTCAATTTCCCCAATTGTGACCCCTTGTTGCTGTGTCCAATCTCGGGAACATCCTGTCTCTGCCCCACTTTGTAAATTTTCCTCTCATATTTTAAATGTTGTTGTCTTTATCCCCCGTATCTCTCCTGTCCTCCAGTGTCATCAGGTCGATTTCCCTTAACCTCTTCTCATAGGCGTGCCACTCAGCTTCGGACTAGTCCCTTTTTGCAAACATTTGCACTTGCTCAAATTTCTTTACGTGTTTGGCTAGGTGTGTATTCCAAACTCTTGATGATATTTTCAGTCTCTTATTTTTCTTTCTGCCATCTTTTATTGTGTTTTCCTTCCATCACTCTCCTGAAGCCCCATAATATAGACTGAAACTTACCCCCTCCTCCTCCTCCTCCTCCCATTGCCTTTCACTCTGTGTCTCTGTGTCCCATCTGTACATAGCCTTATCTCCCTTATTTTTTTTTCCCGTAACTCTAGGGTGGGATGGTCGTGCCTCTGCATGAAACCTGTTTACCTTCTCTACCCTCTTTCCCTCACTTTCTACTATCTCTGCCCCTAACAGCTCTACCCCTTCATTCCTCGGCCTTGCTTGGTTGACTGATAGAGCCATATTGTAAGTCTTGTCTCCTCATTTCCGTTGGGCTCCTCGTTTAATAGGGTGTACCTTCCCCATTGCCATATCTCCTCTGGCAATAGCCCCGTAACTCGCTTTCGCATTGTGTTAGTTATCATTTTTTGTCCTAGGGACCTGTCGGTTTAACACTAGGCCTGTTGTATATGCGTTTTGGGATGTGGGGTGCGTGCGTGTACTCACCTAGTTGCACTCACCTAGTTGAGGTTGCAGGGGTCGAGTCCTAGCTCCTGGGCCCCGCCTCTTCACTGGTCGCTACTAGGTCACTCTCCCTGTGTGTGTGTGTGTGTGTGTGACAACGCAGAAATACTTCCTAATATTTTCCCATGACTCATCTGAGTTTTCAACTTCCAGTTGTGACCCCCTTTTTGCTGTGTCACATTCTGAAACATTCCTGTCCACCTTTATAAATTCCTTCCAGTATTTTATTTGTTGTTATCATGCCCCCCGTATCGCTCCTGTTCTTCAGTGTTGTTAGGTTGAGTTCCCTTAAGCTCTTCTCGTAGGACAAACCCCTCAGCTCCGTGACTTGTCTTGTTTTTAAACCTCTGCACTTCCTCTAATTTTTTACGTGTTTGACAAGGTGGGGATTCCTTACCTTGTCCCGCATACTCCAATACGGCCTGAAGTGTCATGAATGACCCCTTCCCTAATGTTGAAACGCTATCTCAAGTTTATCATGAGCCTGAAAAGCTGCAGCAGTTATTTGGTTGATGTGAGCCTCAGAAGAAGTGCTCGGTATGATGCTCACACAAAGATCCTTATACTTGAGTGAGTTTTGTAGCCTCTGACCTCTGGGCTGTACCCGTTTGCAGTCTCCTTTGTCCTTCCCAGGCTTCAAACCTTTGCACTTCTGGGGTTAAACCCAGGAGCCATTTGTAGGACCAGGCTTGCAGTCTGTCCGATCCCATTGTAGCTTACCTGATCCTCGTTTCCCCTTGTATTCTCCTCATTAGCTTTACATTATCCCCCGAACAGGGACACCTCAGACTCTATCCCTTCCGTCATGTCATTCACTATACAAGTAAAAGCACTGGACCTAGGACTGACCCTTGTGGAATCCCACTCGATACATGCACCCCTCTAATACCTTTGTCTAGTACCGACACACGTTGTTTCCATCCTGTCAGGTATTCTCTGATACATTGCAATACTTTCACTCCTATTCCTACCGACTAAATAGCTTTTCAACCAGTCTCGTGTGTGGTACTGTGTCGAAAGCCTTCTTACAGTCCAAGAAGCTGCAGTCTACTCATCCCTCTCTCTCGTATCTTATTTCTGTTACCTTGCCATAGAACTCCAACAGGTTTGTAATGTAGGATTTCTCTTCCCTGAAGCCGTGCTGATTGTCCATTTCTTTCTAGGTGCTCCACTACACTTCTCCTGATAATCGTATCCATAATTTAGACACAAAACATGTCAGTGACACTGGTCTGTATTTTAGTGCAGCCTGTCTTCCACACCTCGGGCAGTTGCCCTGTTTCGATTTATTTATTAAAGACCGTTGTTAATGGCACACGCAGTGCATATATTATTTGGAGCAGCAGCAGCAGCAGCAGCAGCAGTTGATGATGATGATGATGATGATACACGTACACTACCAACATGCCCAGGATTATCCTGTCACTTCACCTGCCCACATTTTATTCTTTGACAAAACTTGTTACTATCTTTTTGAAAGACTTGACAGACTTATTAATAATACAAAAGAAATGCTCACGTTGCTGACACTAAAAACGCTGTTTTCTCTCATGTAGGAGATCATGTTCCTGTAAAGTGGTTCGCTGCTAAAACTATCTACCCTTCTTCTAGCCATCATGTCCCTACTATGGTTACTGAGCCCGCCTGCTTCTCTTAATGCTTCTCCTTACCCGTTCATTTGACCAGTCTTCTATATTTCCATTTATTTATTTATTTATTTATTTATTTATTTATTTGAACATGATACATAGAAGTACAAAGAAATACAGTGGTTAAGTGTAACATGCCAAAGCCCCTTGTATGCAGAGCATTATGGGCAGGCTTAAAATTAACTTAAGATTAACTAAGCAATAATATATTCAGTGGTAAACATTATTGTAAACAAATAACAATTAAGCACAAATGAGTATTTCAAAGACAGGTCATATGGTCATTTACTAAGTTGCTGTGCATTCAGTAGAATGTAATTAAAAATAACATAGTTTGATAGGGTCACAAGTTAAACATTTATGAGGTACAATTATTCAGTATTTATTTAGTTGTGGGCGAGTAAGTGATTTTTGAGAAGAGACTTGAATTTATAAACAGTGTTTCTTTTATATTCACAGGTAATGAATTCCAGATTTTTGGGCCTTTTAGGTGTATTGAGTTTTTGCATAGCGTGAGATGGACACGAGGAACATCAAAGAGTGATCTGTGCCTTGTGTTATGGTCAAGTGTTCTGTTGAGGTTGGTAAGGAGACGTTTGAGGGGAGGGTTTATATCCGAGTTAAGTGTTCTATGTATGTAGTAGGTGCAATAATAAGTATGGATGTTTTGTATTGTGAGTAGGTTTAGAGTTTTGAGTATTGGTGGAGTGTGCTGCCTGTATTGGGAATTTATTATCATTCTGACTGCAGCCTTTTGTTTGGTAATTAATGGTGTGAGGTGGTTTATTTTTGTTGAGCCCCATGCACAAATTCCATAGGTGAGATAGGGGTAAATAAGTGAGTGATATAAGGCCAGGAGGGCTGGCTGTGGAACATAGTACCGTATCTTCGATAGTATGCCTACGGTCTTGGAAATTTTCTTGGAAATTTGTTGTACATGTGTTTTAAATTTGAGTCTATTATCAAGGTGGATTCCTAAGAATTTTTCCTCTTTGAGCTTGTGATAGGTGATCCGTTTATCATTATGTTAAGAGGACAGCTGTAGCTCTGTTACCAAATGAATGTAGTAGGTTTTGTCAATGTTGAAGTAAGCTTATTAGTCATCATGCCAGGTAGATATTTTCTGTAAATCGTATTCACAGTATTGACAAGCATGATGGGCTCGGTAGAGAAGACGTATGTAGTGTCATCTGCAAATAGTGTGGGTTTGAGTAGTTGCGATGCATTTGGTGGTCATTTATGTAACGAGAAAGAGAAGAGGGCCAAGGACACTTCCATCGTCTTCCTTATCGTCAAACTTTCTCCTTATATGCTTCTTTTTTCTTACATTGCATATACTAATATGTCTAATTTTTCCCTCATCTTTTCTGCTTTTAGTTACATCATTTATTGAGTCCCTTGGGGAGGGATGCTCGAGGCTGCACTAACTTGCTTCTTCATCGCACTAATTGTATTACTTCTATAACTACTACAAGCCTTATTACAAATTCCATTATTACTTTTATTAAGACGATCACCATTACCACTACTGCTACTACTACTACTATTACTACTACTATTACCATTAACGCTATTAATGCTACTGTAACTGTTACTTCTACTTCTATTTATAGCACACTACTACTACTACTACTACTACTACTACTACTACTACTACTACTACTACTACTACTACTACTGCTACTACCACTAATACTATTCTTACGACTACTATTATTACAATAACCACTGCTGTTACTACTACTAGTAGTTCTTCTTTTAAAATGTTGGAAGAATTACCTACAATATTGTTAGGTAAAAGGGCACAATGTGACAAGTATAGATAAATGGAGAGCGAAATATTGCTACAATAAAATGTCAAGTTAGTTGCACAAGTGTCTTGTTACCTAACACACTTCTTCCTCATTCCACGTCTCTCACCTGTTAACTGGTCTTCTCTTTACCCGCTTAGATGTGATTCAAGGATGATCCAATATTAACCCAAACGTCATCATGAGTTTCCTCTCTTAAGTGAGGTTTTTGTGTTTTGTATAATGAAATATAATTTAGTGCTAAAGAGAACAAACAGGTGAATATTTGCTTATAAATGGAGGGAAATACAGCTACAAAAAAAGGCTCCAAGAAGAAAAACAAGATATTATGCATCAAATATTTTAAGAATTTTTTACTTGCCTAATATAGATATAGCAGAAATGGCTCCACCAAGGAGAGAGAGAGCTACAGGCCAAGGGGACATCTTCCTGCTACCCAGCAAGTATTCCTGCGTCGTCGTGTTGTGTCGACTCTTTATGGCGCAGTACACGCCAATACCAACTGACACGACAAGCATCAGGCTGAACATCGTGTAGTCCACAACTGAGAACTTTGCATCTGAATATCTCAGTGTTGAAGCTGCACCTTCCTCCTGGCCTGACATCTTCTAAAAATGGAAAACAACTATTTAAATTAATATACAGGTATCATTCCAAAGTATTTCTTGGTGGATTCGAATACTAGTCTATCAGACGAGGCTACGCACTGGGTCTTTCCTGTCCTAAACGACAACTTCAAAACCTACTACTTACTGTCGCTTAATAATAACAATAATAATAATATTATTAATAATAATAATAATAATCTTTATTTCTACAAGTACATGAAACAGCTTGTACGGACCTAGCTCACACAATGACATACTATATAGAAAGCCCTATGTTATGCAGAGCATTTTGGGAAAATTAGGTTAATTTTGTCTCCATGATGCGACCCACACCATTTGACTAACACCCAGGTACCTATTTACTGCTAGGTGAACAGGGACAGCAGGTGTCTTAAGGAAACACGATGAAATGTTTAGACCCGTACCAGGGATCGAACCATGAACCTCAGTGTGAGATGAATGTACTCCCAACCGAACTACGGGACACCATCTGTGATTCAACTAAGATTTTTACAGTCAGTAACCCACAGCTGTCAAACCTGGCGGCAATAACTAGCTCTTGTTCTTTGTTGTTATCTATGAGCTATTTAGCATAATAAACGCTTGTAACAAAAGTGTTTCTCAACATGACGGTCCAGCTTATTACACAAGTGATCATCCCACCCTTAAGTTGTTACACATTGGGAGAAATAACTGGAAAGATGGTTCGGGAAGCGGAGGTGCTATATGTACATGAGAACTTGAATTTCTGTATAACAACAAGTATAAATGATAAGGAAAAGTGCAGGATTTGTCTGACTGAATGCAACATATCAAAATCAATGGAATTAACCTAATAACTGCAATCAAGTCTCTGTCCCTTACTTCCACTTAGCTGAGCTCATAGTACTGAGAAATTAGCTGGGTGGGCTGAACTGGAATGATCTGAATATGGGTCAGGTAAGTTGTGATGGTTGATGATGTAACATTTTCAGTCCACTTATGTTCCGAATAGGAAAAATAGATTAAACAAAAATGATCCCAAATGGATAAACAATAGGTTAGAACATCCCACTGGCCAAAAGAGAGACATATATAGGTAAGTCACAAGAGCGGACGGGTAGTTAAGGAATCAATATATTCAATTAAAGAGAGAAATAAAAAAGGTAATAAGAACAAACAGAGATTATGAGGCTAAAGTCGCAAGGGATTCAAAGACAAACCCAAAAGGTTTCCTTCAGGCATATAGAAGTAAGATTAGGGACAAGATAGGCTCACTCAAAAGTAACTCGGGTCAGCTCACCGACAGTGACAAGGATATGTAGAATTTTTAACAAATACTTCCTCTCATTTTTATTGCAGGAAGATACTAGCGAAATTCCAGGAATAATAAATTATGTAGAACAGGATGATAAACTATGCACGATTAGGGAAACTAGTGATGTGGTCCTCAGACAAATAGATAAATTAAGTCATCTCTGTTACTGGGCGTTCCGATGCTCGTTCAGGCAGACCGAAAGATCTCTGCCTGTTTAGCCTACATGTCTTCGGACAGTATCCACAGGGAATGGCGTAGAAGCCTGCTGTGGAAGTTAGGGGGGTGGGGCGAAACAGGCAGAGATCTTTCGGACAGCCTGAACGAACATTTGAAATGCCAGTATCAGAGACGACTTAAGGTACACCTGTGTCCTCCACAGAGACTCCACGGGGGACTTGATGAACTGGATGGGGCACAACTTGTTTCTCACTGAACAAGACCTTAGACGCCGAAGAGTTGTAAGCCTTGCTAATAACCGTCCCCCGACACCATAGTGTATATTCCCGCACTGTGCCAGAATCATGCTTGTGTTTTTGTAACATCAACTACTATAAGAAACCTGGTACAAAAACCCAAGCATGATCCTGGCACAAGTGCAGGTGTGACAAAATCAGGATCACAGACAGAACACAAAAATGCTTGCGGAAATGATGACGATGTTGGACACCTCATAAAATTCAGTGAGGCTAAACTAGTGATTAAAGAAGACTTTTTAAAACGGCGAAAATGCATAGAAGCTGCCCTAATTTCTTTCATAAGAACATAAGAAAAAAGGAACACTGCAACAGGCTTACTGGCCCATGCGGAGCAGGTCCATGTCCCCCCCCCACCACGGATTAGCCCAATGACCCACCCGTCTGGTCACTTCCACTCAAGGAAGGAGCATCGGCACCAGACCCAGCTGCAAAAGCTAGTCAGGTCGAACCACCCCTCACCACACCACTCATGTATTCATCTACCAATTTTTAAAACTACACAACGTTTTTAGCCCCCCTTTTAAATTTAAACTGGGGTAAAAAAAACTCGGAGTTTTGTTCCACTCGTCCACAACTCTATTACAAATCCAGCGCTTTCCTATATATCCTTCCGAATCTAACTTTTCAAAATTGAAACCATTGCCGCGAGTTCCAGTCCTTGTCAGGAAATTTTTCAGCATGCTATTAACATCCCCTGTAATTTATTCCTGTTTTCCATTTATAACACCTCGATGCATATCCCCCCTAATTTCTATGCCTTTCGAGAGAGTGCAGATTCAGGGCCCTCCTCTAATCCTCTAGGGAAGATTTTTGATACAGGGGATCATCTTTGTAATCCTCCTCTGTACGTTTCCAGAGCATTTAATATCCATTTTGCATACAGTGACCCAGAACTTGCAGCATAATCTAAATTGAGGCCTAACCAAGGATATATAGAGTTGAAGAACAACCTAGGACTTCTATTATTTATACTTCTAGATATGAAGCCAAGAAATTATGTTACTTTATGCAGCACTAATCACTGTTTGTTTGGTTTTAGATTACTGGCTAACCAGAACACCTAAATCATTTTTACAATCAGTATTAGTCAGATCTCCATTATTTAGTTTATATGCTGCATGTTATTTCCTGTCAAACTTTAGTACTTTACATTTGTCAATTTTAAATCTTCATTGACCCATTCTCCGACCTTGCATCAGTCATATTCAAATCACCCTGGAGTGCTCTAGTGCTTCATTACAAGGAATTGGCCGGCCTTTTTTGGTGTCATCTGCAAATTTGCTTATGTCGGCATTACCTTCCCTCATCTATGTCGTCTATGTCGTTTATGTAAATTGTGAACAACAACGAGCCCAATCACTGACCCCCTGTGGACACCACTTGTTGACGTGCCCCATTCGATTTCTCCCCATTTATGCAAACGCTCTGCTGCCTATTTGTCACCAACCTCTACCCAGGAAAAAATGTCTCCTCCTATTCATGTGCCTTAAAGTTTCCTCAATAGCCACTGATGTAGGAACTCTATCGACAGCCATAACGAAGTCCATATACACCAACATCATTGTCATGACATGATCTACCTCGTCGAACACCTTAGGAAAAAAGTTAAAAATTTTGAAAACAGGAACCCCCCTTTGAAAAAACCGTTTGAGATTCATTTTCGTCGTGCCTTCAAGAGGTACATTACTTGGGCAATTTTTGTTTCCATAAATTTTCCCATTTTGGAGGTAACTCTTTTGGTCTATAGTTCGAACCCAAGGACCTGTCACCCCCCTTTGTAAAAGGATTACATTTCCTTTTCCATTTTCAGGCACTATGCCATTTGGAAATAAATGGTATAAAACACACTCCCCAAAAAAGATACATAGTCCTCCCCACCAATCCATTTCCAACACGTTTCCAACACTTCTCCAATACCCATTCAAGTATCTCCCCCAAACCAGCCATCAAGGACATTACCGTAATAGACAGGACAAGCTTCCTCTTCTGCGGGGTAACATAACCCCTTTTGAAATGACTGCAGCAAATAAGGGGGCGAAACATAGGGACCTCCAAACAGTATTTCAGAAGCCAATAGAAGGGGTTTTAAAAATACAAGGAATGCCTGTGTACAACACCGTAATTAAACAAAACACTTAATAAACTACAAAAACCAAGACTTATCGCCAGAAGAAAAACTAAATCCCGAAGAATCCTGGAATTCGTTTACTCTATATTCGATAATTTAAACCAGAAAAAAGCTTCTACTACATAGTGAACCCTTGCCCCAAAAATTTTCATTGCTATCCACATAAAGCATAGGAAAAGAAGACATGCAGAAGGTTCTGCTCACAAACTTATCCAATCTCCCTTCCAAGCTACCCAAGATTTTAGACTATAACCCCACTCGGTACATCATCAGGTGCAGCATTCTCCACCTGACCTCAACATTCTGAACCTGACTATAAATACTCGCGTACCTTCCACCCCAGGTAGAAATAAATGGTACCTTCCACCCCAGGTAGACACTTCAGTTCACACACTCAGTTCACGGAGTTCACTGCCTTATCACAAGATAGGCACATGGCTTCTGCCGAAAAGAAGAGGCCACGATGCTCCATGAACACGACGGAGGACTCGGATTTGGAAATGTGGGGCGCAATTCCAGCGAAGAAGTTGCGAGACCACTCCGTGTCATCAGAGGAAGAGGAAGATCCTGCTCACTTTGTAGCAGATCTGACAGTTCCAACCATGGAGCCAGCGAATATGGAAACAGGGGAGGAAATAAACACCCCACCCCCCGAAAACCAAGAAGGATGGACCCCTGTGGACAACAAGAAGAAGCGCCGTCCATCCAAGGAGCAGGCAAACCAGCTCAACCGGCCTGGCAAATTCAAGGTGAAGTCTTACGGGGACCACAGAACCCACTATGGCGTTGTTTTCATACCTGTAATCACGACACAACCTGAAGTTCAAGATATGGTTCAACTTGAGGGGAGAACCAATATTGACTCCTCTTGAAGAGAGTCATGGAGACAGATCGCTCATTCACCCTGGAGGAACTGGACTCTCGGCAGATCACCAAGGGTGTAGTGATGCGATACACGCTGATGATGCCCATCGAGGCAATAGCAGCTCACCCCAGTGTGGTGTCAGCTCAACGTCTCAAGGCAAAGACGGCAGGCAGCGCACCAACCCGACAGGTCCTCATTCAGCATGTAGGACCACTGCCATCCCAGCTGACTCGG